TATTTTTTAGGGCAGGGTGTACAGAGTCTCACTACATAGATAGGACTCATAGTGATCCTTCTGTTTACAACCTCCACAAAGTGTTGGGATTACAGGCACATGCCACCATGTCCAGTCTCAAGCCATTTCAGCATGCCCGAGGGGCGGGGCTGGCACAGCCGGCCTGGGAATTGAGCCCCTTGCTTCTGTGTTTGCCTAAGCAGGCGCTTTAATGCGCTGAGCTATGTGGCTGGCCCTCCAAAATTATAAATAGAATCAGTTTTACTTGTGAATTATTACTCTGCCCTATTTAGTCTTGCTTAGTGCCTAATTACTTAGAATTGAAAAGGAAGATAAACTAATTTATTAAATAACTTTATGTGAAGTTTACAGGGTTTTTTTTTTTGCTGAGATCCATAATAAAGACTTTGCTCCCTGCCATCCTTATAAGAACAGTGGGGCCAGAGAGATAGCTCAGAGATAGCTCAGGTGTAAGCACCTCCCTGGCAAGCCAAAAGACCGTAGTTCAATTCCTGTCCCCAGGTGCCATGTGTTCTCATCCCCAGATCCCCGGGTGTGCTGTCTTGGCCTGGACCCCTGGGCCTGCCATCTCAGCTCAGATGCAGGCACCCATGGTGCAGCCCCGGAACTGGGAGTCGTGGTGCATGCCTGTAATCCTAGCACTCAGGAGATTGAGTCAGGAGGATCTCTGCGACTTTGAGACCAGCCTGGAGGCTACAAAAGTGAGCAAAAGGCCAGCCAACTGCACAGTGAGACCCTATCTCAAAAAAACAAAAAACAAAAAACAATGAACAGTAGGATGCCAGTATCTTACTTCCCAGCTTTGCGTTTTCAGGGCCGTTGGATTTCAACTGCTGTTTAAAGCACAGGTCTGGCCCCTTGTAACTGCTAACATAACTAGGCCACTCCGATGTTTGGTTTTTAAACTGTTGAGACTGATTAACAATAAGAGCATGTGTATGTACATGTATGTATCTGCCTGTGTCTGTATGTTTAAAATATTTTTTTGGGTCAAGTTAACTTTTGTGATCATTTGAATTAATGCATTTTTCTTGTTTCTTGGTCTAGGCAGTTGACAAGTACTTCAAGCTTCCTCATGCTTCCAGCAAACCACCTCGGATATCAGGAAGTCTTGTGGACACTTCTTACAAGACATTAAGATTTGCGTTCAGAGCATCATTGAAAACTGCCATCTATCGAATAACTACTACATTTGGTGAACATCTGAAGTAAGTTTACATGTTTTGATCTGCACTAATAGTTCACTTTTTTTTTTTTTTTTTTTTTGGAACTGGGGATTGAACTCAGGCCCTTGCACTTGCCAGACAAGCACGTATTCTACTGAGCTATGTCTATCTCCCTGGCCCCAGATAGTCCACTTTTAAGGAATTCCTCCGAGAAACAGAATTATTGAGGCCCAGATGTTGATATTGTTCTTCTAGCACCTTGATGGTCCCATTGTGAATTAACAGCTTGGATTTAGATTTAATATTTGTAGTTTAAATTTTTAGAAAAAAAACATTTGTAGTTTAAAATGTCGTAAACATGAGAGTTCCTTCAAATGGAGGAAGGAAGATAAAAAGTGATTTTTGTTCTTTCTCTCTCTCTTTTTTTTTTGTTAGTTTGTTTTTGTTTTTGGCAGAACTGGGGGATTGAACTCAGGCCCTTGCGCTTCCTTGGCAAGCGCAAGGGCCTGAGTTCAATCTCTAGTTCT